GGCGTCAAGCTCGGAGGCGCCAGGGATGAATGCCCCCGCTGCTACGCAGGCAGCCTCTGCCCCAACTCCCACCAAGGTCTGCAGAGAGGGGCCGAGCTCCGAGGTCCCAACGCCTACCCCTGCAGCCTCGGCGCCGCCGTCTCGTCCGTCGCAGGAGGCCCCCAAGGGTAAATACATTGCTCAGCGCTTCGACAAGGATCGCCCTTTGACACAGTTGGATCATGTGAGCGCATCGTCAGATATAGACTCATTGTGGAGTTCGGGGGTGACCGCTGAGACCTTCTACCCCAAGGGTTCGCTACGCTCGGTCGATCAGGCTATGATCGAGAAGGTCGGGCTAGTGGAGGGCCTTGACTCTGCTGAGGTCTTTATGCAGAGGGCGATGGCTATTATGGACCACTAGAAGCATAGGTGGTCCAAGCAGCAGGGGGACCTTGAGAAGATGAAGGGTCGAGTCCAGCCTCTAGAGAAGGAGAATCGGGCGTTGGGGGCCACCCTAGGCGAGGTTAAGAGGCAGAACGAGGCCGAGCTTCAATCCAAGAGGAGAGATCTCGCGAGGGTCCAGAAATATTTGGAGATCGCCTTGAGGGCTAATGAAGTCTACATCGCTCAGGTTGGCGAGCTTCAGGAGCTCTCCACCTTCTCTCGAAATCGAGTGCGTTCTCTTGAAGACGAGGTCTCGGGGCTGAAGGCCGAGTTGGGGGAAGCTTCTGAGAGGCGTCTCTGTGACGAGGTGCTTCTTAGTGACAAGGAGGAGGAGGCCGCCGCTCTAAGGGCAGACCTTAACAAAATGGCCGCGGCGAAGGCAGAGCTGGAGAGGCGACTTGTCAAGACTAAGCGACATATTTTGGTGGAGCACAAGAAAGGATTCATCAAGGCAGCTCGTCAGGCGAGGTTACTTGCACCTGGAGTCGACCTCTCGGCTATGCATGTGGAGAAGGAGGTGCGCTTTGGGCGGCTGGTAAAGGAAGACGACCTCCCGGACAGCTCGAGTGATAATGTCTCTGCCTAGGCCGCTGGGCTTTGTAATAGCTTAGTTTATTCTGCTTATTTTCCTTTGGTTTCATGTATTGAACTTGCAAACTTGTTGTATATATATTATTTTCCTGAGTTTTCGTCTTGCGCCTTTGATGGTTCTATTTTTACCTTTAGTTTTGCGCTCATGTTTTAGGCTTAGTTTTCGCCCATTTTTTGTGGTTTGAAAACACTTTTAAACTTGGCTTAGCTTAAAGTGATTTGCACCAGGGTTCAAATTCGACCTCGGTTTGAGATGGAGTAATTCGTACTGAGGTTCAAACTAGATACTGACTTTAGATTTCGTACTAAGGTTCGAACTCGACCCTAGCATAAGATAAGGTAATTTGTACCAAGGTTCGAATTCGACCTTGGACTAAGTTCTGGCACCAAGGTTCGAACTCAACCTCAGCATAAGATAATTTATATCGAGGTTCGAACTCGACCTCAGCCTAAGATAAGATTATTCGCGTCAAGGTTCGAATTCGACCTTGGGCTAAGTTTTGCATCAAGGTTCGAACTCGACCGCAGCATATGATAAGGTAATTTATACCGAGGTTCGAACTCGACCTCAGCCTAAGATAAGATTATTTGCGTCAAGGTTCGAATTCGACCTTGGACTAAGTTTTGCATCAAGGTTCAAACTCGACTGCAGCATATGATAAGGTAATTTATACTGAGGTTCGAACTCGACCTCAGCCTAAGATAAGATTATTTGCGTCAAGGTTCGAATTCGACCTTGGACTAAGTTTTGCGTCAAGGTTCGAACTCGACCTCGGCTTATCGTAAAGCATTTTATGGTAAAACAATGTAAAATTAAGAAGTTATGAACAGAATGAGTCATTTTATTAATGTTGTGGGTGTGCCTCGTTAAAAAACCTCTCAGCCAAAACTCATTTTTCTATTTTTTGGGACAAAAGACCGAGTCGGGAAAAGAGTGCACAGCTCATTCGTACAATTTCAAATGAATTAGAACTTGAGATGCGTGGCATTCCAAGTTCTCGGGATGGCTTTTTTGCTGAGCTCTTCTAGTCGGTATGCTCCATTTTCTAAGTTTTCTGCGACTTAGAACGGGCCATCCAAGTTAGGCGCGAGCTTCCCTTCTGACGAATCTCTGCAAGCGTCTCCTAGTAGTCACCAAACCAAGTCGCCAGCCCTGAAGGAGCGAGGTCGGACTCACGTGTTGTACCTCCTGGAGGCTCGAAGCTTGCAGGCCTCTTCATGAATCCGAGCTTCATCTCTAAGCTCGTCAATCAGGTCAAGTTTGACTGCCATCTCCTGAGAGTTCTACTCACTGTCGAAGACATGACGTCGATGAGACGTCTCGCCAACCTCTACCGAGATCATGGCATCGGCTCCATAGGTTAGCCTGTACGACATTTCTTGCATTGTCGATTGGGGGGTACAATGGTACACCCAGAGTATGCTGGGAAGCTCGTCGACCCATTGTCCTTTGGCGCTTCCTAGCCGCTTCTTGAGCTCTCGGAGTATCACCTTGTTTGCAGCTTCGGCTTGGCCATTGGTCTGTGGATGTTCCACCGAGGTCGGGAGGTGCTTGATTTCGAGTTCGTGGAGGAAGTCCTCGAAACTTTGGGCAATGAACTGTCGGCCTTTATCGGTAACAAGGGAATGTGGAATTCCAAACCTGCATACGATGCTCTTCCAGGTGAACTTCTGTACGTTCTCAGGGGTGATCTTGGCGAGTGGGCATGCCTCGATCCACTTGGTGAAGTAGTCGATTGCCACTCTGAGGAATTTGAGCTGACCCTTTGCGGGGGAAATGGTCCAAGGATGTCCATTCCCCACTGGGCAAAAGGTCACGACGACATCATCTGGTGGAGAGCTTCGAGCAGTTGCCGATGTGCATTGCCGAACTGCTAGCATTCCTTGCATTTTTGCACGTAGGCTTGGCAGTCCGACTTCAATGTGGGCCAGTAATATCCAGCTCGGAGTACTCTGGTCGCCATTGAGCGTGCTCCAGAGTGCATGCCACATATCCCTCGATGGATCTCCTCGATGACATAAGTAGCTTGAGGCTCTGTTAAGCATTTGAGCAATGGGGTGGAGATGCCGCATTTGAACAGTTCGTCTTCGATAATGACAAACTTAGCTGACCTTACCCTCATTTTTCGAGCTTCATCTTTATCCTCGGGCAAAATTCCCCGCTTCAAGTAGTTCCAAATATCTGTCATCCATCCTCGATCTGCGTTGTCACTGGTGTTGACGACCTTGTCGTTCAGACTGGGCGAGTTCAACGTTTCATGTATGATAGTCTGATGTTGCTCGGGGCGCTTCATGCTGGCGAGCTTGGACAGGAGGTCGGCTCTTGCGTTTTGCTCGCGGGGTACATGGTGGATTGTGAACTCTTCGAAAAAGGAGATCTGTTGGGAAGCTACATGGAAATACCTCTGTAGTAAGGTGTCCTTGGTCTGATATGCCCCGTTGAGTTGCTCCACCATGAGCTTTGAGTCGCTATTGCAACTCACTCTTCGCACTCCGAGGTCGTGAGCCAACCTTAGCCCTACGAGAAGTGCCTCATACTCTGCTTGGTTGTTGGTCACTTTGAAACCAAACTTCAGAGATTTCTCTAAGGTGACCTTATTCAGCCCTTCCAAGATAATACTTGCACCACCACCCTTAGAGTTGGAGGACCCATCAACATGCAAAGTCCATACTTGTTGTTCGTCGGCCGAGGTTGGCGTCAGTTCGGCCACAAAGTCTGCCAGGCACTGAGCTTTCAGGAGGCCATGACTTTCATATTTGATGCTGAACTCGGACAGTTCTACCAACCATGCTATCATCCGTCCGGCAAGCTCCGGCTTTCTCAAGATTTTCTTGATTAGGTAGTCAGTTTTGATGACCACCTGGTGGCTTTGAAAATAACGTCGGAGGCGCCGAGCTGCGGTGACAAGTGCTAGTTCGAGCTTCTCAATCATCTGATACCATTTTTCCGTGTCTTGGAGAACTCAGCTAATGAAGTAGATCGACGTCTGCACTTTCTGGTGCTCTTGTACTATGACTATGCTGATTGTGCCTTCGACCACAGCCAGGTAGAGGAGGAGGTCGGCGTGGTGATCCGGCCTCTGGAGGACTGGTAGAGTCGTGAAGAAGACTTTGAAGTTCTTGAAAGCCTCTTCGCACTAGTCCATCCACTCGAAGTTTTTCGGCTTTCGCAGCAGGGTGAAGATGGGCCCTGCTTTTTTCGCCAACCTGGGGATAAAACGTGAAAAAGAAACCAGCCTTCCTGCTAGGCGCTGGACGTCTTTCACAGTCTGGGGGCTCTGCATCTGGATGATGGCTTTGCATTTCTCCGAGTTGGCCTCAATGCCCCTGTTGGTGATCATGAAGCCAAAGAATTTATCTCCCTGGACGCCGAAGACACACTTTTCTGGGTTGAGGCGCATGTTGTGTTCTCGGATCTGTCTAAACACCTCGGCCAGCTCGGCAGCATGATCTTCGACTGAGGTTGTTTTGACCACCATGTCGTCGACGTAGACCTCCATATTCCGCCCAATCTGTTGGTGGAAAACTTTGAGACCGAAAGGCATCACTCGGTAGCAAAAGTTGGCGTGATCAGTGATGAACGAGGTGTACACCTCGTCCGGTGGGTACATCATGATTTGGTTGTACCTGGAGTAAGCGTCCAAGAAGCTGAGTAGGGTGTGCCCGGATGCTCCGTCAACCAGCCTATCAATGCTTGGTAGGGGGTATGAGTCCTTGGGACATGCCTTATTCAGGTCGGTGTAATCAACACACATACGCCACTTCCCCAAGCTCTTCTTCACTAGGACCATGTTTGCCAGCCACGTGGTGTATCTGACTTCGTGGATGAAGCCCACGTTCAGTAGCTTTTGTGTCTCGGTGATGATGGCTTCTCGTCTCTCACCGTTGACCTTCTGTTTCCTCTAGGCCACTGGTTTTGCCTCCTTGTGGATTGTCAACCTGTGACAGATGAAGTTAGCGTCTATACCTAGCATATCGGCGCTTTACCATGCAAAAAGGTCGATGTTCTTGGAGATTTCGGCTTCAAGTTGCTGCCGTAATTCTGGATTTAGCTTCCTGCTTATTTTTATGCACTGTCTAGGGCATTTGCCGACCTGAAAATTATCAAGCTCGTCAATGGGACTTGGCCGTTCATCGTGAGATTCTGACCTCGGATCCAGGTCAGTGATGTCGATCTGGGTGATATGAGTCACTGTAGGAGGGTCACTTTTGCGGCGCGCCTCTGGTTTTTAGACCTTCAAACTTTCGGCGTAGCATTGCCGTGCTGACTTCTGGTTTGCTCTGACACAAATGATCTTGCCACCACTTCCTGGGAATTTCATCGTGAGGTGTGGGGTAGATACCACTGCTCCAAGTTGGTTCAACGTCGTCCTTCTGATGATTATATTGTAGGATGTGTTGGCCTCGACGAGGAGGTAGCAGACCATGATCCTCCTTGAGTTAGGATAAGTTCCGAAGGTTGTCAGCAGATCCACATATCCTCGAGTGTGAACTCGCTCTCCTGTAAAATCGACTAGGGGTTCTGTGTGAGGTTGGATGAGGGAGTGAGGGATGTCTAACCTGAGGAACGTCAACCAGTATAGGACATCAGCTGAGCTGCCTTGGTCGATCAACGTCTTGTGGACCTCCCATTTGGCGACCTCCACAGCGATGACCATTGGGTCATCTTGATTTGGACAGATGCTAGTGTAGTCATCGTCGGTGAAGGTGATTGGTGGTGAGCTTTGGTGTGAGGCCGAGGTAGCGGAGTGGGCTTTGTGGGTGCTGCGCAGGTTTCTTTTTCGCGCCGAGCTGCTAGAGCCTCCCCCTGCGAAACCACCTGCAATTGTGTTGATAACTCCCCGCAAAGGAGTTGACCTTGTTTCTTGACTTACCTCGGCCTGCACCGTGCCACCAGCATTTTGTTGGGATCTAGAGGGTTGGTCTGTGCGAGTGCCTGAACCGCGACCTCGCCCTCGTCCTCGTTCTTTGTAGCCTCCTCGGTGACCTTGCTGCCGCTAGACGTATTGCCCAAGGTTTCCCGCTTGGATGAGTTCCTCTATACGATCTCTGAGTGTGCGAAATTCCTCGGTGGTGTGACCATGGTTTCTGTGGTACCGACAGTGCTTTGATCTGTCCGCGTTATTAGGACTGTGCGTGGGTGGTGGCAGAGTGAGCAAGTTGTTGTTGCTGGCTTCCTCCAGGATGTGCACTCGGGGCGCACTCAGGGGGGTGTAAAAGTCATATCTCCCTCCTTTGTTTGCCCTAGCAGCCTTCTTGAACTGGCTGTCATTGGTGACCTTCATCTTGTCCTTGTAACCATGGTCTGGCTTCGCTTGTGTTTTTTCGCGAACCTGGTCACGAAAAGCGGAGTGCTCTTCCATCTGGATGTACCCTGTAGCTTGGGCACGGAGTCCGTCCATGTCAAGAGGAGATCGTCGACACAGGGTGGCCACGAAAGGTCCAGGCTTGAGCGCCATGAGCATGGCGTGTAGGGCGACCTCGAGGTTCAGGTTCCGAATCTTGACCGAGATACTGACGAAGAACTCCATGAAAGCCCTTAGTGACTCGTCGTCCCCCTGTCTAAGGCTGGCCAAGGCGGCTGATGTGACGTGGTGAGGTCGACTCGTGGCATACTGCACCGTGAATTGCCTTACCAGAGTGTCGAAATTGTCAATCGACTCCATTGGTAGTTGAGTGTACCAGTTGAGCACTGCTCCCTTGAGCGAGGTCGAAAAAACCCTACACATAATAGCATCTTCATTAGTGAGGTTTACCTGTGTGATATACAGATCGACGTGCTCATCGGGGTCCGTAGTGCCATCATAGCGGTCGATGTTGAGAGACTTCCATCCAAAAGGGAGGGGCGTCTCCATAATGCCATCGACAAAGGGGTGGCGGCGGATGCTCGTCCTATGCCCCGGGTCTTGGGCGGGCACATTGCTGACTTCATGGGCCGACCTGTTCGTTGGTGAGTGCGACCGATGTGTGGCAGGCCTAGGGGTCGGTGCCCTAGGTGCAGTCGGTGGTTGAGAGACCGAGCGCCCCTCTTCCTCGTGTTGATTACTCGGTTGAGGGGGTTGTTCAGAAGGGCGCTGAGGAAGCTGGGCGCGAATGCGCTCATTCTCGGTGCGTAGCGCTGCTAGGTCAGTTTCATTCGCGGCACGCAGCGCTGCGAGGTCGGTTTCGTGCTTGGCACGAATGCTCTGCAAGTCAACGGCGTGTTGCTGCCCCATCTGTTTGACCTGTTCGATCAGTCTTCTCAATGCTGCTTCCCTGTCCATTCTAGTTGCACGATCTAGGTCGTCTGTTGCTCGTCTATTATGGCTTCGGATGAAAACCATAAGCGTGACCGATAAGAGTTGTCTTGATCGGCCCCACGGTGGGTGCCAAATGTTCTTACCGGAGATTGGTCGTAGGGACAATCTGCTGGCAAGATCGGTGAGCCTCCTTCACTGGGTACGCTTGTTGTTCCAAGGTGGGGGTGGTACCTGCAAAAGAGACTCCGATGCTAAAGTTAGTGTTTGTGGATGTACGGGTCTCGTATAAGTAATACACGTACCTTAGTGTGAATTAGGGTTTATTTGGGCATTGGGCCCGAGATCAATTGTGACTTAATTGGATAGTGGGCCGATGTTGCCTAGCGCGTGTCCGAGGTCACTCCGCGCTGTGATGTCGAGCTCGAGCTCAGCATAGCGGTACAGATAGTACAACAACCATTCTCTGAAGATGATTGGAACAACTGGATTGAAGGCTGGACTTTACACCTTGACTTCACCAAGTTTACAACATTTTCCCAATCACTTGAAAACTTTTACAAGTAATAATTGCAATATGTGACATCTTAGATTCGATGATCCTTCTCATGAGAAATAATCAACATTAACAGCAAAATCACTTATATTCAACATATATTAAGACTTTTGTCCTTAATTATAAGATTATGTCAACTAAATTACATCTTTAAAAAAAGTAATTAATTTAATTAAAAATATTAAATTTGTCAATAATTTAAATTATTTTTCCAAAATTAACTTTGACTCTTTTCACTTAATTAATTACTTTTAAAAAAATGTGTGTCTATATATATATATATATTTATCTTCTCCGATATTAATAATATAGATAGTTTTCTATATAATTAATTTCAAGTATTTATTATCTTTTGTCTAAAAGAATCAATAATTAAATAATAATATTTTAGAAAAATATATAATTAATACAAAAGACAATTAGAAGAGGGTCATATAAAAAAGGATAAGCAAAAGAAAAAAATAGAAAGGATCTTATATTTTTTTTTTAAGTTCGTCCTTGGAATATCCAAGACCGATAGCAATGACTAATCTCCTCGCTAGGTTGGAGGCACCTCAAAGGATGGGATAGCTAGCCTCAAGATTTAACGCAGCTGCATACACAAGGCAGGATCAACCTCTAACGCTGAATCACACGCTGAGGATTAAGAAAGGTCTTATATATAAAGACATAGGTAGTACCAAATTAATATTAGAAACCAAAATAATTATATCTTACTAGCATAAAAAAAACACTTTGTGCTTCCGTGTATTTTTAAAATAATAAAAATAAATAAAAATGATTGATAATAAATTTTTAAAATAATGGAGTTATAAGAGTAGTTTTTGAAAAATGGTGGAGAAAAAAGAGTAACTTGAAAGGTGTTTTAAAAGCAGTTACAAGAACAAAATTATCCAAATAAATATACACATAAAATGAGATAATCTCTTTATCAATAGTATAGATGATTGAATGATCACTGATGTTACTTTTAAGGATGGTAACAAGGTGGAGTAGTGGCTAATGTGGATTTCAATATCCCTGTCTCAGTCCCCGTGTTCGCACCCTATATCCATCCCCGCCTCCAATATTTCATGGGTATGAAATTTGTATTCCATTTTTATTTCTGTCAAATATTGGGAATACTTGTCCCCGCAACCAAAACTCATCACTGTTTTAACCCCATTGAACTTTTTGCATTAGTGACAGGCGTAAGCAGATTTTTTTTTTTTTTTCCAATGCATAGGTATAAGTTTTAGTTATTCCAATTTAGAATACTCATGCGTGAAAATACGATCGCGAACAACTCTTCACATACTTTTCCAGACTCACCTAACATACTCCTGATAAGAATCCAACTAATATCAAACTCTTTCACCATGTCTTCTTAAGTTCTAACTACGATTTAACGACCATTCTCGCTAATAAAAGCTTTACAGCTTCGTTTGGCATTCATTTAAAGCATAAAACAATTACTGTTCAAAAATCAACGAGGGTATATGAAGTAACAATAAACAGCATACATCCATTTACTAATTGAAACTTGAATAACAAGCTTTATTTCTTTAGTATTTATTTTCTTTACATATATTCAATGCAAATAATGGAAAAAATCAGTGTCGGAACAAATATGACAGTAACCATGACAAAAATGTTATACATGCTCCTAATCCCTTCCCAAGAAGATTGAAATAAAATACAATGTATAAAAAAGCAACATAAAAGGATCTTCCAACAACCTTGATTGCAACGGAAAACCAAGCAGACTGAAGCTTCCTGATCTGAGAAAATACCAGAAATGAATACCAGTGCTCCAATCCTTCATTAGTCTGTGTTACATCAACCATGAACTAAAAACAGATTGGCTGCTGTATAGTTCAAAATTTGTAAAGCCATGAGCAGAGGCCCCTTTCTTTCATGAAAAACCCAAGTTAGATCCCTTCATTCCTTGTATCTTCTATAAATGGCGGATTTGGATAACTGGAATTCCAACAACGGAAGGAATTATGCCTGTTTGAAACAGGCGTAGAAAAGATGTACAAAATTCCTGTAAGGCACTCTAATTTGACAACTCAATCCTTGCTTCACAAACTTGTTTCTTCTCCATGACTGTTGTCATTGGGGCTTTCGCAATCCCATGCATGTAGATATATACAAATTTCATCATATTGGAGTGATCTCCACAGGACCCCAGGAGAAGGTAGAACTAGATAAATAACCCGAGTTTCCAAGAGTCCTAGTTAAAAAAATAGGTAGACTCCAAAACCTCCCGAAGATCAAAGTCTCCTCGTTCGGGTAAGGGAGGAAAGCTCAATGTTGGGAAAGTCTTTTGAAAGCTCTCCAACAACTGCATTTACAAGTAAACAAGGAACTCTTAAACAACCAAGTCATTTGATATCCAATGACAAGTTTACTTCTACATAGTATATATAAAATAACAAATTCAAGAGTAACTAGCATCCTAAGATACCAAAAAAATAATTATTAGCATGGTATGGTGATTAATTTTGTCAGGTAGAAAGGTAGAGGTTATATATGATAAACCTTTAAATACTTCGAATAATTACAAAATGCATAGAAGGTTTCACAAGCAAATGGTCTGTTTCACATGAATATGATCAACTATGTAATTCATTTCATTGCACAGGAATCCCTTTAAAGCAGAAAGTTTGACTGGATTTAATGTGAACATAAAATAATTGACCAACAGAGAACAGTTATAGAGCATAAAGCAAAAGGATAATGCCTCATACATGGCAATCTAGCCTAAGGTATGTCCAAGTCACCAACCTACATGGCACATTTAACCTAATCAAAATGCTTGTACAAAGATATATAAGTACTTTACATTTTCCAATATTGGAGCCTCATAGAGTTCAACAAACTTTTCCCTGAGTATCCTGTTCATCTCATCAACATCAGAGGCATGTGTCCAATATGAATCATGAACCCCTGCAATTAAGCATTGGTTTACAAATTTAAATTACTAACAGAAGTAAACATTGATGTACATAAACAAGATCATAAATTACATTCACATATAACTGTATACGTATGAACCAATAAGCACCTGCAAATTTCAACCCGGCTTTTTTACAAGCAACTGCAGTCATCATCATGTGAGAACCATCAAGAGAGTGAACAAAATTTGGGGGAAAAGCTGTTCTTTGCCTTTTAACCATGACCTGTAACAATAATATGGATGTTCTATTTAGCTTACCTTAAAAAGTTTTCTCATAAATTAATCTAATATAGAAAATAAAATCCACAGAAATAAAACAAAATGGTTCTTTCAAATGTATGGCTAGGGAAGGACACTTCCTACTATATTTGCCCCAAGAGCAGTGCAGGTTTTGACAAATAATACGAAAATAATAACAAAGTGATATAGTATTAAGTGTACAAATGAATTGGATAGTGCTACTAGGCACTACTACTCTAAAGTTAAGATGGTGATGCATCATGCATCTTACAAAATATATGGGATCTTAATCAGACATGAAATTTTGTGATAGATTCAAATAGAACAATAATTAGTTCCAAAGTGAAAACACGAGTCCACATATGGTTGGTCAATTCTGATCAAATCAATACTTACCTTGTTAGTCTCCCGTTGTAATGTCAATATCTGAAGGGAAGTCTTTATCTGTAAATATCCAATTACCATATTAGTGCCAAAGAAACTTCTCAACTAATTGTTGATTTATTTGACTATTAGAGAAAAAATAAAGAAAAATGAAAAATAAAAGGGGAAAAAAAAAAAAACCAACAGTTGAGAAAATTACAAGATGTCTTCCTAATTGTCGGTAGGGTTGTACTACAGGAAGACCAAGGGGAGTGATCCATCGGACTGCTTGGTTAGTGGAAGCTATCACCTATTTCATGTTCAAAATTTCAATCATCACAACGATTGAGAAGTGAACAAATCAAAGCATAATGAACATTAAAACATGGTAATTGTTGAACAGCAAAAGAGAATAAGAAATTAAAGTTTGTTTGTAAAGGAACCATGGACATAGGCTTATCGTATTAATTAGAAATAACTCGAGGATATTTTTGTTTCATCTAAATCAGTGATTCTGTTGCCTATAAAACCTCTATTAAATGTAAATATTATCCTGTTTTTCAACAGTAACATAGTGTTAGAATAGCAAACTCAATTATATATACAGAGAATAATAAGTAATAAATACAAGGATTACAGTTGGAGTATATAAAACATACTTGATATATTCTTTCTGAATTATGGGTCTAGCTCAATCCTACAAAACTGACTTGTCAAGTGAGGATTGCTCCCTATTTATATATACTTTGTTGACCTTATCACTAGTTGATGTGCAATCTCTAACACACCCCTCACCCAAAGACTGAACATATCGAACAAAAAATTTGCAAAACTAGACATCTATGGTAATCTAACAACAGATGGTTAGCAGGTGGCACAATAGGCCCAACAACAATTAATAACTACTAAGATAAGCTCTGATACCATCTTAGAATGTGGGTTTGGGTCAAACTCAAAACTACAAAATATGATTGATTCCTTTATAATTAGAGATATGGCGGAAATTAGGGATTATACTCATATGCTACCATCTTAGAATGTGGGTTTGGGTCAAACTCAAAACTACAAAATATGATTGATTCCTTTATAATTAGAGATATGGCGGAAATTAGGGATTATACTCATATGCTACCATCTTAGAATGTGGGTTTGGGTCAAACTCAAAACTACAAAATATGATTGATTCCTTTATAATTAGAGATATGGCGGAAATTAGGAATTATACTCATAATTACCCATTATCTTTCATTTCTGCATTTATTTATTGCTCGTTATATTTCAATTCCCCATTTCCTTATTTTGTATCCTAATTCATTATAAATAGATAATTACATGTGTGGTAAAAACACACACTTCCTACAATTCCTATACGGTACCAGAGTTAAAGGAGTTGTAGGTTTTTCGACCCCCACACACACACCACTACTTTTCGATGTGTACATTTTTGCATGAAAACTACTGCAAACAATTATGGAACTCTATGGGCCGCTGTAAAGCCACTCTTTCCCCAACACAACCACACCACCTAAGTCCCCAAACTTAGGCAATCACTGTGCTACCAGAAATGCTGCTGAAAGTGCTTACACACAACGCCTTTCTCTAACAGAGCTCTAAGGGTTGCTACAATGCCATCATGTCTTCAACACAGTTAGACCACCAGAGTCACCACACTCAAGCGACCATCGTGCAACCAAGAAACTCTGACGATGGTTGCCACATGCATCCAAAAGCATTGGCTTTCTCTTTAACATCAACCATATTGTGAACAATAACCATGCGGTGAACATTCAGTTGCTCCACTATGCATCTGAATGATGGTGCGCCACCACTTCTAGCAAGGGGAGTCTTCAACGATATGTTTTTGTACAAGAACTACCGTCATTTGCCTCCACTCTATGACATGCACTGTTCACTGTGTGTTTCTCGAGTGAACAGTACCAACATAGTGAATAGTAATTGCAATCCTAGAGCTTTTGTTTGCCACTCCATGTTAAGTCAAAAAACGATATGAGATCCCTCAAGTTTTAGAATTTTAATGTTAACAAACGTTTTTACAAGATAATGTCTTCGAAAATGTTTAACAGACAAAGTGTAAGACGCAGATCATTTGTAAGACAATGTGAATAAGACGAAACATACAATCTATCTCATATAGATTAAATGTTCATTATTTATTGAGATTAACGACAAAATTCATTTGAATATTTTATTCATTAACAAATCAAACTAAAAAATCATCTTGGAACTCAAATTTGTTAAAGAGAACAAGACCATGCTTTTCGTTAGAACCAAGGACGAAGATCCTTGAAATCATGGAAAAAAGCAAATATAGGCGTTTCTTTGCTGCTCTGCACTGACATTGCTTCTACAAGCTTCATTTGGTATGGAAAGATGATAAGTAGCTCCCTTGATCAAATAAGAAATATCATTTCATGAAATGCATTATTTACATTAAATAAGTCAACAATTACCTCTCATCACAAGGAAAGACATTAGAGACAGACGAATCAAACTTGTGAACTGGACTCTAAGTATTGCAACAGTCATCTTCTCCAAAGCTACTACATAAGATTTGTGGCTCGAGAAAGAAAAGAGACATGTATAGAAATATACACAAAGAAATGTACTCTGTAAATTATACTTGTGTATAAACTTTATTCTTTCTTGTAAACAACTCAATGCACTACATTGGTTGTATAGCGTCAAAGTGAGACAAACATCTTTTTAAACTTCATAACCATTGTTATAAAGTTGAGCCTGGAAAGGCTTGTCTGTAAAATAATACTTGGTTGAGCCTGGAAAAGCTTGTTTAAAAAAGAATACTTGGTTGTTATGCCTGGAGAGGCTTGTTGTAAAAAGAATACTTGGATAGTTGCTTGAAGAAGAAAGTCAAAAAATACTTGAGGTTACTTGAGGTTGAGCAAGAAGTGGCTTGTTAAAAGAATACTTGTATCTTTACTAAAAGATAGTGAAATTCAATCTAGTTGGATTAAAAATTGAACATAGTCTCAATGGTAGATGAACCGATATAAAAATACCCAATGTTTCATCTAACTTCTATTCGCATTCCATTTGACTAGTGTTACTATTTCACTAAAAAAAAGTGAGTTTTTGATACACACTATTCAATCCCCGTTCTTCTAGTATTTATCTTTTCTCCACACTCCACCATGCCTCTGATCGATGTGTGCCATCACTTTCGACCAAGGGAGTCTTCAACAACCTAATTTGTCCAAGAATTGCCTTTGTCTGCCACCTTGTGCCATCGCATTCTAGCACGTAATGATCACACGTTGGACAAAAACATGCATCTTTGCACGTTCCCAATGACCAATTGGTAGATATATTTAGAAAATCCCTTGATGATAGTTGTAACAAGCTTGGCTCATGACATTTATGATCCAACTTGAGAGGGAGTATTAAATATATGATTTAATATGATTGATTCCTTTATAATTAAGGAAACTTGTATAGCAGAAATTAAGGATTCTACTCATTATTAAATCATATATTTAACACTGAGTGATGAGGGAACTACTATAAAGGATTGGGATTGCAAGAGGACCGAATACTATTGTGGAGGACAATGGGAAATTCAGGTGCAGGTGACGTTGGCAAACAAATGTTTAGAGTAAGAGATGATGTTGGAGAATCGGTGGGTGGAGCTTCCAATGGAGGCCTTGGCTGTCAATGGTAAGTGAGGAGCAACGATTGGGGCTAGAACAACAAGCGAAACATCCAAAGGTACATTGATGACAATGGAAGTAGAGAAAAAGGGGTAGACTTAAAAAACGTAACATGACAACATACTATTGAAGTTGTGGACAATAACACAAGCCATAAGTAATCATGGATGAAATGAAATGGCTTGGAAAGGTAAAATCTTTAAAAAGGCATTACATAATTCTCTAACTCTAACACTAGATCCTCAAGGTCATCATTAGCATGTTCTTTGACTGATATGTAGAATGCAACTAAGCACCTAATAATAAAGGGAAGATGTGTAGTCTATGTAGAATAGAAACAAATCCAACCCTAACAATGATAAACAAAATCTCCAATTTTGTGTAGATACTACTAAGTATTAACAGCTCAATAAGTCTTGTCAGCCACAAACTTCTAAAACTAAAAGACCTGACTGTCAACTTTTGTGTTCCTTTTCATATTTGTTTTTGGTTATAGAGAACATCTTACTATACCATAGTCCGTCAAAAATTTCTAATATTTGAAAAGAATAAGATTACACATACAGAATTTAAATAAGCTTGATAAACAAACAATGAAAAGGATTGTGATAAGACAATATAATAGATATAACAAATTGATATATTAGCCATTTGTTCACATTAGCTATATTTAACAGCTATAAACAGTTAAATCACTCATTCTTTTAAGCAATGATATTCAATGCAAAATCAGACATACCTTTGCGCATTCACCTAGCCAACTCATAATACTCCTAGCAGCTTCAAACATCTCTTCTAAGGCAGTGAGAGTGGTCTGTAAAATAATGACCAAGTAAAATAAACAATAATATAGATTTAGAAATGTTGACATACAACCTCACTGATTCAAAAACTTTCTTACTTTTGCTGCATAGCAGGAAGCAGCAAACAACTCAATATCATCCTCAATGGCACAACGCTCCTTTAGCCTCCTCTTTATCTGGTCCCTGGCCCCAATATAAGTCACTCCATAGACTGATGTCATCACTGTTTGCTTCACCAACTTTCGGTCCACCTAATGGTGTTAGTTATAATAGTGATTAGATACAAGTTTGAGGCTGGCACATATGTATGCCCTTTCATATTACAAAGAATAAACTAAAAGCCACTTGTATTGTGTCAGACAAGTCAATAATGTTGATAACAAGGCTTAAAGCCCCCACCATTCCATCTTCAAATATTCTAGAGCAGAACATTCAAAAAAGAAAATAACATTTTGATACTTGCAATTAATAGAAACCTGGTTGATTAGCCGCCTAGCATGCAATGCATTTGGATTAGTTTGGGGATCTTTCTCTGCATCTCTTTTCATGATTTCAAGTACTCTGCATCATATTGCCAAAGTTAAATTCATCAAAACAGTAGCCCTTAAGGAATCAAAACAAGTAAATTTATTTCAAAATGAAACAGAAAATAAAGTTATACAGATTTTTTGTAGATAAGACATAAAAAGATAGTAATATTAGTATTTAATAGGGTCACAAGGGGGAAGATTACAATGCAACTGGCTTCCTTTTGTAGAATGGAATCAAGTAGCAAGAGAAAAATTGAAAAAAGGAAAGGGAAGTAGTACTTTATTCTCTTAGCTTGTTAGTATATCATCCTTGGTTGAAAACTACTACGATCCAATAACAAGGTTATTGTGGTGAAGTTATGGGATTTTAGTGTGAAGTTTACAGGGCCTTGGGATCTTCAACTATATCGCAATTAGCATTTGTAACGTGGCTCTCACAAAGTTCTTATCAATCAGTATCAAAACTTTTCACCATGTCTCTCAACTGCAAATGTGTGGCATGGGTGGTGATTCCAATATTGCAGTATTCTCCCGAGACTAGTCAAAGCGCTAGTGCACAGCCACCCCACATGGGCACTAGAGTTGCATATAGTGATACGAGACTTGGGTCCCACATTGGGAGCATGTGTTGGAAAAAGGAATATTTAAGGAAATAAGAACTTTAATTTTATTTTTCTAGTTTGCCTACATACTTATTATAGCTGCAATACTCTTAATTATAAATAAGTCCACTCGTCCGGATGGAATTATCATTCAAGCAAATTTAGAAAATTTTTGCTTTTCTCTTTGCTCACGTGGTATTAGAACTCCTGATCTACGGCGAGCTATACTTCTGCAAAAAAATCCCTGTAGAAGATTCGATTAGGCTCTTGAAGCAGTTAGACAATAAAAAACACAGCTGGAATTTTCTGGTGACATTTTCCAGTGACCAACATTTATCCCAATGAGTATCATATTCTCAAGTGACCTTTCGATGCTCTTGAATTTTCCTACAATTTTCCCAGTCACTGTTAGAACTTTTTTGGCACCTTTCTAAGCCATTCTGATATCTTTTCCAGCAACCACTAACCTGTTCAACAATTCATTTTGATCCAATGCTCACCTTATAAGGCCAAACAATAGTATATAAGTGAGGAAAAACTCTTGCATAATAAGCCGGTTTTGTAAAATTGAGTTAAGCTCAAAACCCAATTTCTAAGATGGTATCAGAACCATAGTAGTCAATCCCGGATAGCGGAGCGGAGCGGTCGACCCTAAAACTGGGATAGCGGGATGACGCGGAGCGGGATAACCGCTATTTTAATATTAATTTATATATATTAAATAATTAATAATATATATATAAAAGCTAAAAAAACAAAAAATAACTCTAAATTCATGCATTAAACATTTTTAATAGTTAAAAGTTCATAGTACTCAAATAATACATAATATAAAATGTTTTCAAAACAAAGTGCTAAAGCTCTAAAAAAGTAAAAAATTAAACATTATAGTTTAATCTTCTTCCTCATCAAGATTAAAGTCTTCCTCTCCCTCAAATTCATCACCCCCACTAGCATTAGAATTATATTCTTCTTCTTCCTCTACTTCATCATCATCCTCGTCTTCCAGTACTTCCATCACTTTTTTTCCTTTATCTTTCCTGGATGTAGATGCAATTGTTGATGTCTTGTTCACTTGTGTTTGTCTCCTAGTGTATTTCAAAGGATCACTAGCACCACTTGTCTGGGCAACATCTCTCCAAGTCAAAACATCATCATCAAACACCAAGTCATCTTCAAAATCATCCTCATCATTCTCTTCTCCCAACATCCATTCATTGTTATCATCAACTTCATTTAAAGCAATTGGATCAATTGCATCTTGACACTCAAAGATTTCTTGAAGAGCTTGATTATATTTAATAAAAACCAAGTCTTGAATTTTTTGGTACTCAAGCTTACTTCTCTTCTTTGAGTGAATCTATAATAATTTCAGAACATGACAGTTAGTTACTTCTCTTCTTTTGGTGCTCAAGCTTACTTTTCTTCTTTGAGTGACACTCTTAATTCATGTGCCACTCCTTAAAAAAGAGTTGGAATACACCAAGGGCTTATTGAAGGGCCATGAAGAGGAGAGAGTAAAATATGGGTGCTCAATTATGTCTGATGATTGGACAAATAGGAAAAATAGAACTTTGATTAACTTTTTGGTCTGAATTAAATTTAATCAGAAATTAAAAATAAAATTTTCTGAATTAAATTTAATCAGAAATTAAAAATAAAATCAGCTGAATTAAATTTAATCAAAAATTAAAAATAAAATTTGCTGAATTAAATTTAATCAGAAATTTAAAATAAAATTTTCTGAATTAAATTTAATCAGAAATTAAAAATAAAATCAGCTGAATTAAATTTAATCAAAAATAAAAAATAAAATTTGCTAAATTAAATTTAAACAGAAATTAAAAATAAAATTTGTTGAATTAAATTTAATCAAAAATTAAAAATAAAATTAACTGAAATAATTTAATAAAAAATTAAAAATAAAATTATGTTGCAATGTTACATAAAAGAGAGAAGAGTCGAAGGAGAACAGAAGACAAACTAAGCGGATGGAGGCACGTCGGAGCTGGAGGTGCGTCGGAGCTGGAGTTCGAAATAGAGGACTACGCGCACGATCGCGGAGAAGAAAGAAACAAAATCCGAGAGAGAGAGGAGAGGAGTGCGAGAACTGAAACCGTGAGAGGGAGAAGGGAGCATTAGGGCAAAAAAAGCCCATTTGAAAAGATGGACTTACCCTTAATGACGGGTATGTCGAAATCGCGCCGTTGTTTCCGCGATTTTTGCCGCCCCGCTCCGCCACCAATGCGGCCGCTCCGGCCGCGACACAAATCTGCCACGCGACAGCAACGAGGTTGCGGGGTCAAGCCGCTCCGCTCCAGAGCGCCGCGATAGCGGCCGCTCTGCCCGTTATTGACTACTATGATCAGAACTATCCTAAATCCATTTAACAAAGGGTCAACCACCATTTATACACACACTAAACTCAATAGTGCTAAGTGTGAGAGTGTGTATCAGAAAAAAAAAAACTCAAGTTTTCCCTGCCTATCCTAGACCCATTAAAAAGGGTCATGCACCATTTATCAACGCATCAAGTTCAATAGTATTGGGCATGAGGGGCATATGAGAAAAAACTTAAATTTCACATCAACTAGAGATAAGGCCAACAAAGAATATATAAGTAGGGGACAACTTTCACCTAAGTCGATTTTGTAGGGATGAGTTAGGTTTAAACCCACATTCTAAGACTAGAGCCACATACCATATGTGCCCAACATATAAATACTTTTCCACTAATTCCCCATGTCCTAGCTAGTATAGGAAACATCCAAATAGACCCCTTTATTACCCCTAAAATGTTCTTTATGCCCAAGGAGTGCATAAATCTTGTCACTATACAAAAATATACAAAACACATCTTGCATTGTTATTTTTCATAATAATTGTTGTGTATTCCAAGACAAAGAATTGAGGAGGATTATTAGGCATGCTAGAGAAGGAAATGGCTCTCATCTTCTTGAGAAGACATGTGTGCCTGTTACATAAAAAAAAATAAAAAAAAAATAAAAACTAGTCTCATTCATTCATCTCAATCTCTACTATCAAAAGAATGGGTCTTACTCAAGAAATCTTTTACTTCCTTCATGGCTTCACTGAAATGATGGCAAATGTCTGTAAATCAAACTTTTGAAGAGGAATATCTTCAATTAAAGGCAAAATAACCAAGCTTAATCATCTTCTTCCCCTTAGAGACTTTGTTAATCTCTTTATGGGCTCAAACAATGTCCACAAGCTTGGGCTCCCCTAGTTTCATTCATTCATGTCATCCCTACTATCAAAAGAATGGGTCTTACTCAAAAAATGTGTTACTCCCTTCATGGATTCACTAAAAAGGTGGTAAATACCTCTAAATCTAAAAAATTTCTAAAGAGGAATATCTTCAATTAAAGTCAAAATAACCAAGCTCGACCATCTTCTGCCCCTTACAACCTTCGTCAATCTCTTTATGGATTCAAACAATCTCCACAAGCTTGGTTTGAGAAATTCAGTTATGTTGTGCAGAATTTTGGGCTACATTGCAATGAAGTAGATCATCCGGTCTTTTATTGTCACACTTATGTTGATGATATAGTCATTACAGGTGATTCTCCTAAAACTTCTCAGCTGAAAAAGCATTTGTTCAAGTGTTCAACCACTTTCAAACAATAGATGTTGGCAATCTAAAACACTTTATTGGTATTAGAGTTGCTCAATTAAAAGATGGCATTGCAATTTCTCAAAGAAAGTATGCTCTAGATATTTTGAAGGAAACAGGTATGACATCTTGTAGCTCAATTGATAGTCCTATTCCTATGGACCCAAATGAAAAATTGATGGCTAATCAAGGGGAACCTTTATCAAACCCAAAGAGATATCGAAGATTGATTGGAAAACTGATTTATCTTGCAATTACTAGGCATGATATTTCATTAACAAGGAGATTAATAACACTACAACTTCCTAACTGCATGTATGATATTCTTTGGGTACATGATTAAATGGAACATGAATCTGAATATAATTGCTACAATTCCCAACACTTGTACTAATTTCAAAAGGTTTATTATTCAATATTATATATTTAATTATCAACCTTTCAATTCAACCAATATACAACGAACCACTGCTTTTATATGTTCAATGACCAGTTCAATTTTAGAAACAGTAATAATAATTACCTGGCAGCAATTCCTGAGTAAACATCAGCCGGCTGATCTCCACCAACAAGATTGACTGCAGCAGCACCCAACTTCAAAAAAATACAAGCAGCACATTGATGATGAGGCAGAATTAAAAAAAGAACTGATGTAAGACAATTTTGTCATGCCCAAACAAAAAATTAGTCTACTGCATGTTAAAGTGGATATAATTTTAAATGAAAAGTGATTAAAAAGAATCTGCAAAAGAGTAGGGTGCTGTGACTAATATTTATAAAAGTTTAGAGCAATTAGTTAAGAATGCAGGGTCCCACCTTTCGAAGCATACAAATATCAAACAATAATGAAAACATACTGTCCTCAGTACAAGCTAACTGTACAATGAATATGATGTAAACAATCCAAACCAAACTGTTACTTAAAATATGTTAGGAACCAAGAATTAGGAAAGAGAAAGAAAAGAAAGATCTTAAGGAATAGAATGAAAATGAATAAGTAACAGGAGAGAAATCTCTCCTCCAAGGGTTTCCCCCTCACAAAGGATTTTTCCTTTCACAAAGAGTTAATGCTCAATTTACAAATGATAACTTTTTGCCTCCATTCTCTCCCCTAAAGTCCTCCTATTTATAACAAACTAATTCTAACCAACTCTCCCTTTCCTGCAGTCCTAACAATACCACCCCGCCTAAAAAACAACCTTGTCCTCAAGGTTGAAATCCTGAAAATAAAAAATAAATAAAAATAAAAAATCTCCTGGGCAATAGTAGTTGAAAAATATCCATTATTCCCCTGTATCCTTCATCTCCATCAGAATCAATTTGTGCGAAGGATCACCATAATGGTTTCTCTGCCCATAACAACCCACTTAGTACCACCTGCAAATTAGCATCCGGTGGCTCCGGTGGTGGTAGAGACATAAGTGGGTACTGTATAACTTGAATTTTGGTAGCCGATCTGGTGAAGAAAGTATGGTTAGCATGGAAAAAAACCCAAAGCTCCGTCATCATTGACCAACTTCTATCCGGAACGTCAAACCAATTTGTTAGGAACCAAGAATTAGGAAAGAGAAAGAAAAGAAAGATCTTATTGAATAGCATGAAAATGAACAAGAGATAGGAGAGAAATCACTCTTCTCCCTCCTGCAGTCCTAACAGAGTTTCACTCGTAGCAAAGTCTGCTTTAGATTAATTTTAATTTGACAATCACTATAAAAAGTGAATTCATATAAATTAGACAATGAAATATGTTAATTGAAAAATTATCCAGCTCAACGCATTCATAGGTTTCAGTTCCTATCATCAATCTGAAATTTTCAAGCAGTTGAGCTGAAATAATATAGAAATGTAAAATTAACAATATTTTACATTGTGTTTGGTAAAGAAGAAAGAAATGGAGAGACAAAAAAAAAGAGAGAGAGAGAAATGAC